GGGAAAAAGAGGCCACAGAGGAAAAATGGGAAGCCAATACGCTGGCCCAGGGAAAAAAAAAAAAAAAAAAGGTCAGCTTTATCACTCGTACTTGTTATAAAACAAACAACAGGAACCATCAGTATTATACTATGAAGAAAGCACCAGGAAAAGGTTTCAGGTAAAAGATAGAAGACAACATAGGAGAAAAAACATGAATTGCATCAACTTTACTTAGGTTCCTGAACTGACAGGCAAATATGATTAGGTGAAGTAAAGAGACTGGCTTGGCCTGAGTTTTGGAAAATTAAATTTCAAGGCAAGACTACAAATTCTGGAGAGCAATTTAAATACAGTATTTTGCAGAACAGGATCTGGCCTGAAGGCACAAAATTAGACTACTCCATTTCTTTGATTAGTATAAAACAGCTAAAAGATGCTATACCTGATTGTGTACGGTATTGAGCTGGTTGTTAAAGCTCATTGTCAGATTTGTGCTTGTATTAGGAGCAACATGAGTTGTGAATGGGCTCTTAATCTGATTCACTGTATCATACATATTAACTCTTCGTTTGCAGATCTCCATATTCTGAAAGCAAGATTTCACACTGAAACAGAATAAATAGAAGGAAAATATCAGATATGTAAAAACAGTACGAGACACATGACAGATTCCCAACTTTATGCACATGCCTTTACGTTTAGGCTCTTTTGTTGTTTTTTTTTTTTTTTTTAAACCAACAAAGAATGTTCTAAAACATGAAAAGGAAGCTTATGAACATTCCATTCCTTATACATGCCATTACTATTTTCAGAACAGCCAGAAACTGCAGAAAACAGCACTGACAGAAAGCAGAAAAGCGCTATTCTGTGTTTCCAGTAAGTCCTCCTGAAACAAAACAAGAAATCTAAGGAAGCCTACTGATTACTGTGTGGGAAATCCAGTAGATGTGCCATTGTAACAAACGGATGGTTCAAAGTCTTCAGTGGAGTAATTCTCTTATCTGCATCAATTGTCAACATTTTCTTCAACAAATCAATATATTCCCTTCGGTCAGCCTTCTCTGCCAACATGTCAGTCCCTTCTAAGTCTGTAGACATATTCACCTTGAAATTAAAATGAGAGTAGTTCACACAAACAATCGATCAATCACATCAAATTAATCGTTACCTAACAATTCAGTAATTTCACATCATGCAGAAATATTTACTAAGCATTCCTGTCTCTTAGCCAGCTTAATTTTAGGTGCTACAGTGCTAACACACAACCTCTCCCTTGCTCATTCTATAAAAGGAAGTCAAACCTACACATGGAATTCCCATCTCAACGTGAAGTTGGCCTGTTCAACAGATATCAACCAGGCTTCATTCTCCACTGCCTGGCAATCTTTTGTGCCCTCAACTTTTGTGTGGGGCTATAAGGGGCAAGCAGATCAGAACGGCAAGATTCTACATTCTCTGTACAGGTGTAAAGTGATGATAACAGCTATGAAAGCAACAGAAAATTGAGACCAATGTATTTAAGATTCAAGGCCTCATGATATTAAAAGTATTCAGATCTTCCTTCATTTTACCTCTGAAAATAGAATGAAAAAATAGAAAACATTTCCAAAGTCCAATAAGAGGCCTAATCCTATAAACACATCTGGAGGTGCTTAGCTTTCCCACTGCCTGACTACTTCTACTGATAACAGGGTAAGCACAATTGCTGCATCTACCGGACCAAGGCCTAAGAAAAAACGACAAATTTCTAACAGCTTCATAATTAACATTTTGATAGTCTTTAATACAGTGATTCCTGATGCAAGCTGGCACCACGGCAAACCTACATCAGTGTTCTCAACAGCCTGTGGAAGAGGACTGCTCCAGTACAGGAGCCTCATTTTTAGAGATCCCAATAATGTATGTAATTAATGTGATAGTTATCTGTGTGTTACGAGATCTCCACACACCTGCGCCATATCATCCAAACAGTTGAATATATATTTCCGAGCTTCTTTTGATTTTATTCCTGTCTCCAACTCATGTTCTTCTGGGGTCTATAAAAGAAAGCATGTGTTAATATAAACTGAGATATCGCATATTGATAAAGAAAAAGCAGCAAGAAAAGAGCTGAGCCAGGTGAGCTTTTGCCTGCTTGAAGACAAACGACATGCCAGTAGGCCAAACCAAAACAGCCATGGGTTCTCATTTCCTCAACTGGAAAAATGATTCACTGCAAAGCTGAATTAACAACAGGATGACTTCACTTCAAGGCTTCGTTAGGTAGTGCTAATGCCAGAAGAACTGAAGATTTTTGATTTAGGAAGAGAAGCGGCTATAAATATTTTAAATCCCTCTCTTACAAAGAAGAAGAAAGGCAAAATCGCCTTCCTTTTGCTGCCTGGCTTTAAAGGCAAATGAAGTGTACATCTGATTCTTTCCTGTCCTTTGCCAATACACAAACAGACTTCTGTTAAACTAACAAACACCATCACGAAATACTCTCTGTTTTACTCTTTGTATTGTCAGGAGATGACAACAAGATGACATACTTCACCAAGACTGAGCAGGCCATAATAAGTAACCATTATCGCAATTACTTTAACGCCCACTCTTTGCTGGTACTATCATGCACAGCTGCTATTGTTAGCTGAGTACCAGGAGGTCTGTGCAGTTTCTGAAATGAAATACACAAATCAGCTATATCTGAATGGCATTTCAAATCCAATCTTCACTCAGAATGTTTTCACAGCACACTAAAACTAAGTGTGAATTTACGTCAAGTCCTCAATGAACAAAACAGAATTGGGAATTAAAAAGACAGACAAACCTTTAGCCTCCACAGTGGGTATCCCAAATTTGGATCTCTGTTAAAAAACCTGCTCGTTTTCGTTCCTGCACTGAGAAGATACTCTGCTGGAAGGCCTTGAGTTTGTGAAATATAACGAATCTAGAAAAGAAAATTAAAAGAATGAGGACTCCCAATATAAAGAACTCACAGCTAATGGAGTAATGATCAATCGCGTTTGTTCACAGTGAATAGAAAATAACCTGTCAATAAAGAACGCCCAGATAACTGAAACTGCAAAATGCAAAATTAAAGGGACTATCTGAAGTATTTATAAGGACACTTAATTTTTTCAATCGTATTATCTGCAGAAATTTTAGGTTTTAAATACATCTTTCTTATTTTATGGAAATATTTTTTGCCCAAGTATATGTGAGCAGACATGGATGAAGCAACACCAATAGTCTTTAGTATCAGCAATGTAAGAAGGACACATTTTGAGAGAAAAAGTACCACAGAAGTTATCACATATATATATATATATAATTAAAGGCATAAGAATCCAAGCAACATTGCTCTGACTGGCTACATACACTCTAAGCACGCCATTTGAGAATAACATCACGGCAAAGCTCTCGCCGACCAAGAACGCAAGACCAAACCTCTAGTACAATCTCAGATTCTTACATCCTCAAAAACATTTAATATACTTTACATGTAACAAAAAAAAGGGCTCAGAATTTTGGAAAATGCACCTGAATAGTTGTGACGGTATCAGTAAGACACTGGTAAAGAGCTAATAAATAAAAGGTATGCTCAAAAGGAAAGAAAATAGCAAGTTATGAAAAAACACAATAATCAGCTTTTTAAAGTATTCCAAATGTTGCCCAACTGCTAATGCTATTTGCTCTCAAGATGTACAGTGAGAAACGTGACATCACCTTTGTCATGACTCTCCCCTCAAAGGAGTCTATTTAAAAGTTTAAGAAAAAAATCCCTGGTAAGTCATAAAATGAGGACTGGAAATACAGTGTTAAGATAACTAGGCTTTGTTCGAATGATCAATTATAGGTCCTTTAGCACGTCTCATTTCTCATTTGCAAAACTCCTGCTATTCCACTGTAACAAAAGAGCTGAACACTGCAGGGCACTTACCTCGCTGTTACAGCTTGCGATCCACATGAATTTATTGACTCACTTTTCATTTATGCCAGCGTGGATCTGAAGTGTCTGCAGGTGAGTATTTTTTGTATCTACTCAATAACTGAGCTAAGAGTTCTGCTATTTTCATGAGACATAACTCTTGCTTTACAGCCACAGGGTGTTCAAAAAATAATTGTAAATCCCATCCCAGCCCGTGAACTCATTCCTGGAGAGGTCCTCTCACAAGTTCTGCCTGAGCTTTTACTTGCTGTGGCAGAGTCTCAGAAAATATGAAAGCAAGTCATCCCTATTTTTCAAGGGCAATTCAGATATCAAAATCAACCACATGAAGTCACACCTCATGCTGCCTGACGAAGGACTGCAAAATCCTGTCTATTAAGCAATGGAAAAAGCACCTCCTCCCCACCCACCTACATGACTAGATAAGGTTCTCAGAACTGCACAAAACTCAGTGTGCAAGGAAACCACCATGCTGTATCTCAGTTATTTTCTAACTCATTCTGCTCATTAAGGTACCACTGTGCTTCCTTTGGAAATTTACAGGGCTGGGAAGATGTAACACAGGCAAGTTTTCAAACTTAGTAAGTTTTCATGTATTTTATCACATAAGGAAAACTATACCAAGCATTGTAACAAGGTACCACCATAAAAACCACAGTGGAAAAGTTACCCTCAAAAACCCTCTCATATAGACTTTTTGTCCTTTTATAGGCAGCTGACTAGCCCAGGTAATAATGCCAAGCATCCACGGAAAGAACTAATTAGTTCAAGATGCCTTTTCAGACTCTTGCCCTTTTATTTCAGAGACAGCTAGGGGCCCACACTTTGCATTAAAAATGAGGGCTGCTGGAGGTATTAACAGGAGAGGAATGATAGGCTTCCTCTGTCTCCACATGGAAAAACTGCCCTCATGGTGAAATTACAGAGGGTGTTTCAAGTCAGAACACACACCTCACTTCTGTTTTGACAGGAAGGTATTTCAACAGCTTTTGGGTTTGGAAGCCAGGGGGTTAACTGTAAATTGACTCTCTGTATTGGATGACTACATTCAACTCAAGGTAAAACACACAGAACTCCATGCTCTCCTGTACAACAACAGGGACAGACAGGCAATGGGAACACCACAGAGAGAAAACAAACTCAAGATGACAGACAACAGCAATTTATACTAGATGAAATTTGACATAGGGTACATTGAGTTCGGAGGGTCTGGACACAGATCATTGTGATTTCATTTGAACATCCTCACGTCCACCACGTGCTCTCACCTGATCATACTCAGATGCTCCTGGATACAGAGGCCAGCCTAGAAACAGCTCAGCTATCACACAGCCCAGCGACCACATGTCAATAGCTTCACAGAACGGTAAACCCAGTATGATTTCAGGAGCTCTGTTGGGGAAAAGAAAAAAAAAAAAAAGTAAAATCTTCAACTCTGAAAGCATATAGTTCTTTCCTATAAATCTGGATAACGCCCCTACTTCTCTCCTCCAAGCACAAGCAAATCTGTGTGAAACTAAGTGATTCACTTTAAAGCAGATGTTTCCTCAAGTGGCCTCACAGATCCCAACATTTTTATCACTTAGTGGCGCGGCTGGATTCATTTTATTGCCGTGGTGCCCTCCAACTCCTAGGTGGCCTTTATACAACTGTGACACGAAGTTACTCCTTCAGGAACCTGCTTCATTACACCCGATTACGTATGGTACAAAGCACCCCTGAGACGGCACACCACCCACTCTAACAGAACTGGGAAGAAAAGTCATGGCAAACGGTGCTCAGACTTTTCTTGGAAGAAGGTCGCAAGACCCCAGGTAACCAGCTGCAGAAGGCTGCCTGTTTTCATGTGGAAAAGCAGAGCATCTGCAGAGCCAGAAAAAGGAGCTCTTCAGAGAGCTGCTCGGTTTCTGTCAGCGGGTTTTCATACAGGGTTTGTTTGGGGAGTTTCGAGTTTAAAATGGACGGAGAGAACACAGCTGGAGATTGTGACTGCTTTGCAAGGTTGTGTTACAGGTTTCTGTGCACTGAACCACACCTAATGCAAAATTTACCTGTCTGGCCTAGCCTTTACAAGAAGGTGATGAAAAAAACTCAAACTCCAAGCAGGGCTTGCTTCTGCAACAGGTTGGAATTTCAGGGAGATTTCTGCCTGGAACTGACTCATAACCCAAAAGGATGTTTTAGTACAACTCTTCACCTACACACAGTTCTGAAACAAACCGATGCCGGTCTGTCAGGCTAAATTCTGGTCATACATTTGCATACAGCATAAAACCCAAGTGCTGCAAAAACCATGTGAGTTGGTGTGGGAATTTACTCTGGAAAGTACAGGAAACACATAAACCTTGATCATCTTCATGCATAACTAACACAAGCGCAAAGGAAGACAGAAAAGTCCTAAACTCCAGGCTATCTATTTTCTGGTTGTGACTCGGGTAGCATGCCCCAGGGTTTGCATGACATTTATTGTGTTACAGTATGGATATTTCTCGTGTTAAAAAAGGCTCTGAAACCAGTTCTGATCTTTCTACAGCGTTCTAAAAAACAGGGCTTGCATAATGTACAGGTGTCATAGATCTGACACTCACCTTCCTCAACTGTTCAGCCTGAATGTACCTCCCAACTGTTTGTACATGGCAAGAAGTGACTTTCCAATTAATCACCCTTTGTGTCGTGGTGACACAGGTACAGCTTTTGCTTTGGGTGACTACACAATTACCATTAGCCGGTCTCCAAAACAAACGCGCTCATCCCAGTTGCCCAGGCACAGAGCCCCTGAGAAAGCACAAGATCTATCAAAAAAGACAGAGCGCGGAAGCAGCTGTTTGCTGCAGCGAGGCCATGCCTACTCTCTGTCGTTCAGCTTTAAAGCAAGGAGGTTCTTCTATTATGTCGGAGCCCCCCAAAAACAGAGCCACCGTATACCTTTAGTAATCAGAATGATAGACTATTTAAGCTAAGACATTCTGACCCTGGCTCTACTTGACATTGATCTGTTTCTACCTTCTTGTTTGTCTATCCCTAGCAGCAGTTGACTTTGGAATGGTTTCGCGTATGTGAAAATACAAAACGATTATGCAAGTATGATAAGTACCTGATATTTGAATGTTGAATGTCCTGCTAAACATTTATATTTTAAAGAACTATGCTAGAATAAATCCAACTTTCTATAGGCTAACAGGTGCAAACAAGAGGAACCCACTTCTGCAGTACTTTGGTCTTCAGAAGCAGTGAGTACGACGCAGTCATTCACACAGGATTTTCAGAACCCCATGCGCCATTAGTCTACTAGTCATCATCAACAAACTGCACTGATCCTCTTGATTATCATACTTATACAGGAATTTCCAATTCAGATAGGACCCAAACCTGTCACATAAGGAATGCTGCATGCATAAGTTTCCTTGGTGTGGACTGGCAAACAAACTAAAATATAAGTAGCTCATGGAATAAGCAGAGCACGCTACTCCTTCACAAGTGCATTAAAAAAATCCCACCAATTCCAATGGAAAGAGGGATTAGCAGCAACGAAGGCTGGATGTGACAGTTTGTTAGTCTTTAACTACACGCTGGAACAGACTGAGATATTCTGAAACCTCAATATCAAAATGATAGCAAGTTGAACTCTGTGCATTTTATTCCCTGAAACTAAATAAATGAACTTCTCACAAGCCACCGGATTTCATTTTGATGGCAGGACAGAGCTGGTAAATCAGAATCTCTCTCATCTCCTTTTACACCACTATAATTAGCGGCCTTATGAGATGCGAGTTGAAACAGGACAACAGGCAGAGGTCACTTTCATAGCTGGTCTGTCAGAGATTAAAGTGATTTTACGATCTTAAGCTCTTTGGAATAGGAATCAACAACATTCTTTCTTTGCATACACGCTTGCCAAACTCTGACTTCCAAAGTTGGCAAATATGCTCAGGCGCTCTCAAGAGAGGATTCACAGTAGTAGCGGAAAAATCTGAGACTTACTTTTAGCCTTTCAAAATACACCATGTTTACACATGGGTCTTCAGCCCCCCCCCTTGTGAAGAATGATGGTAATATGAAGCTTCTACAACTGCAACTAGTAATGCAGCGAATAACATGGTCACCACTCAGAGCTCGATTAGCAAGCAGAGAGTTAGATTTGGCAGCAGGCGCTGCTGCCTCCTTGGCCAACATGACTGGGACAGAAGTAGGTCATGTAGCCCAAAGCAGAGGTAAGAAACAGATACTACTGTACTCCGCAAGCTCCCTCAACGCTCAGTGCCACCTTCTCATGGCCCAAATTGTTCAGTCCTTCAGCTTAGTATCTTCAATGTGCTAGGCGTCTCTACACTGACCCACAGGAAACATCAGGACGTAGGGATCGAGCAAGATTCACGTGATGGCTGTAGTTACATATAACACAGGACACGAGGAAACCTCCCTGATCAGTCTTCCCAGGGATTTCTCACTTCTGCAAGCTGTCTGCTTCCTTCTATTGTTTATCCTCCCCAGGGAGAACAAAAGCATCCATACCCTTCTGCAACTGATGTAACAAGCATATACTCTGGTTTTCAGGTCAGGAATTACTGCTAATAGATCTCAGGACTGCCACAGAAACTAGTCACTGCATAGAAGCCTGACTGTCAGAGTTAGTCTACTCCTAGTCCATGCCTGGCTTCAGCACCAAAGAATTCTTCATGGACACCTCTGCTCACACTTTAAATCAACCATGTCATGGCAGTAAAACGGCCCTTCTTGACGGGGGTTACTCTGCAGAGGCAGCAGTAACGCCTGTGGAGAGAGGGAACCTGCCTCAGCCTTAAGGCACTTGCCCTGACAAACCCAATACTACATCCCAACTGGATGTACGGCTCCGGCCGTGTCATCAAGACCAATGCAAGCTGTCCAACTGCCAGAAGCACAATCAGAACCTGGAGTGAGCAGGGCTGTCGGACAAGATGACCTCCAGCTACACTGAGCATAATTAATAAAGGAAGGTTTTTTCCTTCAGGGTATATATATCAGAAAATTCACCTTACAGTACCCGAGTTTGGCTGGTTTAGACGCCTCTACAGGAGACAGAGGTTACGTAAGTGCCAGTAACAGGCATTAAAAACAAAAAAGAGAACACAGAACGAGAAGTTTATTTTTAATAGCTGCCAGAGAACCAAATGAAGAATTGGTCTATACTGTTTTATTAAACAAAGCATTGAAAAAAAAATCTCCAACTTAGAACTCATCTGAACACTAATTTAATGTGAATATGGTTAAAGCAATCCAGTTCTCCCACAATAAGCTGGCTTCGACACCATCTCCATAAGTTCCTAGATTATGGATTTTAGTAATCATCACCATTAAACTAATTACATGTCCCTAAATATTAGATTTCCACATCACAGCATTCTTAACTTCAGCCAAGCAGACAGCCTTAAACACCATCTAATCTCTGGTTATTTGCCCTTCTGGCAGTGTCAGTCACCCCGCGTCAGGGAGGCGGAAGCGGCTCGGAGTTCAGAGCCGCACACAAAGATGAAGCAGACAGCTTCCCTCCAGCAGCCCCTTTAAGATACTTATCATCCCTTGCTGCTTGTGCCTCAGCCAAATCTGGTTTTTGCGATATCAGAAACTGGAAAGCACTATATGCCTCCCCAAACTGCTTTGCTCACATGTGTTGCAAGTCAGATAGAGCAGATTCTTGATCAGTGGTCACTTCTTTCAATGCAACAACGAAATTAATAATGCATTTTAGACAGCAAGCATTTTAACAGAGCTATGGTGCACAGAAGACAACCGTGTTACAAATAATAACAATCAATAGTTTAGAATTGGAAAGATTGGTGCCAACAAGCTGAGTGAAGATCATGAGCAATGGATTAAGAGAAGTCTATATCACATGAAAGAAACGGCACAGAAAGCTGGTACTTAGTGTTAGAGGGAGCAAAAACAAAACAAAACAAAGGGGGCAAGGATACAAGGAGTATGAGGAACAAACAGACAGAACAAGGCTACAAGAAGCCAGGGCTTTAAACTGAAGCGAGGAGGACAGGAAAGACATCAAACAGGGCAGAGACACGGGGTGGGGTGGAGCGTCTGGAGTCCTCTGTCTCGTCCCAGCTGGAAGGACTAGATACTAGTTAAGTTTTGCGTCAAGTGAGCTCACATTCCACTGAAAGCAACCCTGACACACAGCACGGACTTTTTCATGTCCCTTTGATGCCAGAAGTTCTTTCTGCATCCATTTATTGAAGTCTACTGCTACTTATATTGAAATACACACTATTAACAGAACCAAGATGAAGGAATAACTGAAAGAAAAACACAGCTTGCTACACAGTTTCTGAGTTTTAACATTTTTGCCCATAGTTTATTTTTCATTTTTAGACAGGAGTAGGGTAGAAGCCATTTCTACATTTTGCTAAGGGAAGCAGAGATCTAGCTCATCCCTGTTTTAAGAGAGCTACAGGTCTCATGAAAGCATGACTTACCAAGGGTTGACCGAGGAAGTCATGTGCTCATGAAGTGGGTTCAGACAAAGATGGAACCACAAGAAACAGGATAAAAAGAAATCGGCATCCCTTTGGCTTCTCTCCCTTCTAAATGACCATGGTTAATGGACTAGTTTCAGATCACGGCAAATAATCCGAAACACACTACTTATTAGTGGCATACTGCTTCCCCAGTTTGCTACTTCACACATCGTCACAAACTAGCGACAGGGTAAAATCAACTTACTGCACTAATCTGGGATAAAAGCAAGGTATTGGACTGCATATTATGTCACACTTGCAAAGCAGAAGTTCTATTTATTTACATACAAAATTCAGAAGAAATCTCAAGGAAACACGCAGAACAGTGGACAGGCTGCTCATTTCCTCCTCCCCCCTCAACTGGGATTAGACATAATGGCAGAAAAGTTAAGTATTTGTAGAAGCAAACCCCTAGCACCCCATCAAGATCAGCTTTTCTTTGCTCGTGCAGCATACGAAAGCGAGCGTTGTGTCAGTACTTACCTGTAATAGCGCGACTGCAAATAAGTGGAGCACACTGCCTTAGACACGTGGCTGGCTGAACCAAAGTCTATCACCTTCACTCTGTAGGGCTGGCGCGCAGGATCCACCAGCATGATGTTTTCTGGTTTCAAATCGGCATGTATCAGACCCAAGCTCTTTAACTTCATCAAGGCAGTAGCCACTTGCTGCAGAATTGGCCGGATGTATTTCAGGGGCAATGGACTGAACTTATTTTGCTTTAAGAAATCATATAAGTTCTGTTCTAGCATCTCAAATACAAGGCATGTATGATTCTTGTGTTGAAAGCACTCGTAGGAGCGAACAAAGTTATATTCGTCAGCATTCTCACTGCTCAAGCGAGAGAGGATGCTCACCTCTATCTGGCCCTGCCTAGCATAGGAAGGATGGTTCTTCAGGATTTTGATGGCTACAATCTCCTTCGTGCTACGTTTCCAGCATTTCGCCACCTGCCCAAACGTCCCTCGGCCCAGGAATTCCAAGACTTCATAGCTGTTTGTCATAGAGCACAGGATCTCATGCTGGACCAGCTGGTAATCTCCTTCACCACTGGAACTGCTGCTTTTAGTGGTTACCGTGGTGGTTGTGGCCGCAGCACCCACCGCAGGTCTGTTTTGCAGCATGAGAGGTGGATGTTCCTCAATTATCTGCACACTACCGTTGCTGTCGACCTCTTCACTTTTCCTTTTTAATCCACATTTTTGGTATGGTTCCAGTAAAGAAACGTTGCTCCTATGTGTTAGGGCTTGGCTGTTCTGGAAGGACGCTGTTGCACTGCTGCCTGTGCTGTCGGCTGCTGTAACCACAATGTGCTCAACTGAAGGAGCAGGGAGAAGGAGGTTCTGATCGTAAGCGGGGATGCTGAAATTGGCTACCTGATGAGAGGAGCTCGCTTGCCCTTGAGCTGCTGGGAGGTTTTTGCTGTGGGTATAATACTTGTCACTACTGCTCTGTCCTGAAACATCCCAGACAGAGGGCTCCACTTTCAGTTTCTTGGCACTGCAGAAGGCACTCGAGGATACTGACGGAGGGGAGAACACCTGCAGCTGTGAGGCCATACCTGAAAAGGGAGAGGAGAACTCATTAGGACTGCTTAGCGGCGGCAGGTTGCAACAGAACAAGATCCTCCATCTGCACAAGCAAGAGAACTACAAGTATTTTTCTAGGCACCGTATGGTGTCTACCACTTAGGAAGGCAACCTTCTGAACTATGGGCATCCACAGAGCGAGGCTCTCCGGTGGAATTCCTGCATTTTACCTCACTGCCTGTAGCATGAGAAGCAGACAGCTCTTTATCCAGCTTCCTAAAGGCTAAAGAAATCCCACCACGGGATGGGAAAACAGTACTGAAGAATGGAAGGCAGTATGGAAGTGGGAAGATGCTGAGAAAATTAAGATCGCTTCCCCCCGCCCCCAGGCCTGTGTCTAAAAACAGAGCCAACGGGAGACCCAAACCGGACAAGCCGAACTTCTAAGCGGGGCCGCTCCTGCAGAGCGCAGCCCAGGGCAGCGCCCGAC